GTAATACGGTTTCCTGATAAAGCTGTGGAGAGTATGTGCTGCAGGGAGGTGGATGCACAACGCACCCAGGAACGAACGCTAGCTCCGGTCCTTTTCCCGTGAGGGAAACTGTGGACTCGATGTCCTGAGAGGCTGGTATTTGTGCAACCTGCACAAACACAATACTGCACCATGATTACAAATGGTGAAATACAATGTAAAACTACCGAAAAATACCAGCTCACTAAAACACAACCGCTCAACTCAAGGCAACTACTAACTATACCCACGGTCAGAGAGCGGAGATGTTTACCCTTTGTGATGTAATATGACACGTTTGACGTATGACCTTAAAAAAAAGCCGTTTTTAAGAGCAGAGCTCAAAATTGCTCCTTTCCCTCTGAATTCCTGCCCTTACTGTATATTTCGTAAAACATATCAAATCCTACATTCACTTTTTTAATTGTAATTTTCAAGCAAGTTTAAGCATAAATGTAGAAAAAAAAAAAACCTGCAAGATGCTCTTTAAGTGTTCTTCTGGTCCTTGTGCATACATGTTTGTTACAAATCTGATGCTACTGCGATGACCATATTGACTCAACTAAATGAATGACTGCAAAACAATTCCACTGGTTCTTTAGGATCAGAGAGGGAGGTAGACCGTCCGTGTCAGTAGCTCATCTCAGAAGCAGCTATTGACCAACCAGCTTTCACTTCCTCTGTCAGTGGGCACACTGTTGCTTATGTTGTTCGTGCTTTGACACTGAGAGGAACCTCCTTTCCGTTGATGTGCCTAAGCAACTGCCATTTCATGGATAAAAGATTAAGGAACAACTCACTACACATCAAAAGTAATTTGGGGGACGGGAGGTAATTTAACTCAATGTTCTGAACATAATTTTAACGATCTGCCATTGAAAAAACGATTGCTCTCCTGATGGTTTTCATTTTACGTCTTTGTGTTGGTTCCCAAAAAGGCCTTCATGTTGGTGTATGACGTTTTCCTGTCATAGGTTACCAAACATTTTTTTGCACTCCTTCATGTCACATAAAAGTACAATTGAACTCTGAACTGATACAAAAATATACGAGGTAAATTAGTAGCAAGTAAATCTTTCTGCAGACAAAAACCCCTTAAAGATCCACTTTAAATATGAGGATGCAATTTTGAATGAGAATCAAGCTACAGGAGTCGTAGTACTGATGATATATTGTTCACACACACACTTTATTACCACACCTAAACTGTGTGTGTCTCCTCAGAGTCTGCATGCAGATTTACTCATACGCAGGATCGGGGATCCCTCTCGTTTTGGAAGCCAGGCGTTGGTTCCTACCACAGGAATGCCACCAATGTGGGCTCCATTGTGGATCCCATCTGGTCAGATAGACAAGCTTTGTGCCTCTGCATGTACTGATGTGTATTTTAGAGGTGGCAAACATTATCCACATTTAGCCCATCTCAAAGTAGACACAGTTAAGAGGTGAATCAGCATACACACAGGAACCCTCACCACGATGTGCTTATAGCAATATAAGATGGAACAATGGTTTCTGTCAGAGAAACATTTTTAGAAATGATTCATCATCTGTGTCTTTTTAGGAGATGAAATGTGTGCCTGTGCGTCATCAAGTCAGAAACAAAATGAGCCAGGGCCCTACCTGGATGTTGTGGGCTGGGCTAGACATTAATTGTGAGTCACTTGGACAACATGAGAGGACTGGGGTTTTGTGTAAGGTGATACGCAGTGACAAAGCATTAGAGAGAGAGAGAGCAGGTACTCTGAGGCACGCAACACTCTCTGTTGGCAGGCTGTCTGCGTGTGTTTGGTTAACACATCACCTGAGATAGAGCGGTATGAGCAAGAGAAATAGAGTGTTTTTTGACTACACAAACTTCTTCGTGAGGAGTCTCTGTGTGTGTGCATGCATGAAGTGTGTGTGTGGGTGTCAGGGCAGTGTGAACTCTCCAGTGGGGAGGATGTGAGGCAGGGGAGTATCCAGTCTGTCTGGGTCAGTGCTGGGAGTTTTGTGACTTTTCCTTCTGGGTCACTTAAGATTCTTCCACTTGTCTTCTGTTTTTTAAGGGAAACAAGTGTGTGAACATGTGTGTTTTCTCTTTAAGTCCTGGCAGTGTTTTTATTTTTTATTATTGTAAAAACGACTGCCTGCTTCGCGTTTCTGTGCCAATGGAAACTGATCTCTTTCTTGTAAAGGGAGTCATTGCCTACTATAAGATCTGAACTTGTTAAATATGAAACCAGTCTCAAATAGTAAGAAATTCAAATAAATTATTATCTTTTCATTGACATTAAAACACTGCTGCCTCCTGTCCTGTCATGTCTTGGTTTGTCCCCAGCAGCTCTGGAAGTTTTAGTCCCACCCAGGGTTTGCCAGATTGCTTTGGTGGATTTGGTACATTGCGTAATTCCAAACTGTCCATGTGCGTCACAGGGAGCACCCTTGTTTCACAAACATACGCATTAGTGTAAACACATAGAAAAGACAGAGTACGAAGGGCCGCCTACATACACAGACCTGCCTTTATTTGCTGGGATCACATTAGTGTTACTGACTTGTTTTATAATCTCTTGCATTTAAGATCCATCCACATCATTGTTCATTGATCATGCAAAGTTATATGGCCTCCTCCTCCTGACAGGATCCTGTTACGTAATAAACTTAATGAAACATCGTGAATCTCTCAGATCCCAACATGTCATAATGATGAGTCAGTGTAAAATGTCTAAGGGCCATTTGTACAAATTAGGGATGCTCCGATCGAGCTCGACGCTCATTAACTGTCAACGGGAGGGGGGGGTGCTCGTGAACTGTCAACTGGAGGGCGGGGGGTGCCTTGCTGCGGGGAAGCTGTGGACCTCTGTCGCCTGTCAGCGCAACTTACATGATGCAGTTTA